ACATGGTCCCTCTGCTTCTGCTTCTGCCCTTGCTCCTCTAAAATAGAGTCTCTTTGGTTCAGCCCACCTTGTTCATTATATTCCACAAATAAGTGATATCATGTGGTATTTATCTGTTTCCACAAATAAGTGAGATCATGTGGTATTTATCTTTCTCTGATTGGCTTAGAACTTATAGGCATGTATGCATACCAATGGACATAGACAACAATGCTAGGGGGATGGGGAGGAAAGGGTCTTAGGGAGGGAAAAGGAGAAACATCTGTAACAAAAATAAATTAATAAAAATTGGAGGATAGCCCTGGCCAGTTTGGCTCGGTGGTTGAGCATCAGCCTGCGGACCAGAAAGTCCCAGGTTCGGTTCCCACTAGGGGCATGTACCACGAAAAAAAAAAAAAAAGGGAGGATGGATGGATAAATAAATAAATAAATAAATAAATAAATAAATAAATAAATAAATAAATAAATAAATAAAATAGATTCTCAACCTGGCATATTATAATTCTTTAAACTATAAATCAAATGATACTTGCCAATGGCTCTCCAACTCAAAAGCCAAATACAAGCCTACCCCATTTGCTTCCAGGAGTTTTATGATTTCAGGTCTTACATTTAATCTTTAATGCACTGGGAGTTGATTTTCACATGTAGTACAAGACAGAGGTCCAATTTCATTCCTTCACAAGTGGCTGTCCAATTTCCCCTAACACTATTTAATGAAGAGACTACCCTTTCCCCATTGTATATTCTTGTTTCCTTTGTTATAAATTAATTGACCATATATGTGCGGTTTTATTTCTGAGCTCTCTATTCTGTACCATTAATCTACGTGTCTGTTTTTATGCCAATATCATATTGTTTAAATTACTACAGCTTTATAATATAGTTTGAAATCAAGAAGTATGATGCCTCCAGTTTCATTTTTCTGTCTCAAGATTTCTTTGGCTATTCTGAAGTATTTTGTGGTTCTATACAAATTTTAGGATTATTTTTTTCTATTTCTGTAAAAACTGTCATTGGGCTTTTGATAGAGATTTCATTAAATCTATAGATTCCTTTGGGTGGCATGGACATTTTAACAATATTAATTCTTCCAATCCATAAACACAGAATATCTTTCCATTTATTTGTGTTTTTCAATTCCATTCATCAGTGTCTTATAATTTCAGTGTACAGATTTTTCACTTCCTTGGGTAAATTTATTCCTATTTTATTCTTTTCAATGCAACTGTAAATAGGATTGTTTTCTTAATTTATCTGATAGTTTATTGTTAGTGTATAGAAATGCAACTGATTTTTACATATTGATTTTGTATCCTGCAACTTTACTGAATTCATTTATTAGTTGTAACAACTTTGTGGTGTAGTCTTTAGGGTTTCCATACAGAATATCATACCACTGCAAAAAGAAACAGTTTTACTTCTTTTCCAATTTGGATGCCTTTTATTTCTTTTTCTTGCCTGATTTCTCTGGCTAGGACCTTCAATACTATGTCAATTAAAAGTGACAAGATGGAAGAAAAATCAAAAAAGGTTGAGAGCTAAATAAAAGTGGCAAGATTGAATCTTTGTATAAGGAGGACATTACCTTGTTCTTCATGGCTGCTCACTGCAAAAACACCCTGATAAATAGCCCAAATAAAGGACAATCAGGCCGTTGGGGGATAGGAAGGGGAGTTGGTAAGTGTGGGCACTCATCTTATTCATGATCTTAAAGGAAAAGCTTTCAGCTTTTCACCATTGCATGTAATGTTGGCTGTGCACTTGTCATGTATGGCCTTTATGTTAAGGCACATTCCCTCTATACCCACTTTGTGAGTGTTTTTCTCATGAATGAATGTTTGTCAACAAATGCTTTTTCTGCATCTATGAAGATGATCATATGATTTTTACCCTTCATTTAATTAATATGGTATTATCACACTGATTGATTATAGATCTTGAATCATCCTTCTGTTTCTGGAATAAATACACTTGATCATGGTATATCATCCTTTTAATATATTGGTAAATTAAATTCAGTTCATTTCAGTTTGTTGAGGATTTTTACATTTGGTTTGTAATTTCCTTTTCTTATAGTGTCCTGATCTGGTGTTGGTATCAGGGTAATGCTGACTTCATAAAATAGTTGTGAAATGTTCCCTCCTTTTCTGTTTTTTGGAAAAGTTTGAAAAGAATTGGCATTAATTCTACTTTAAATGTTTGATAGAATTCAGCAGTGAAGCCATGTGGTCCTGTACTTTTCTTTGTTGGGAGGTTTTTAATTGCTGAGGCAATGTCCTCAGATTATCTATTTCATCACGATTTAGTCTTGATTGGTTGTGTGTTTCTAGAAATTTATCCATTTCTTCTAGGTTGTCCAATTTATTGGTATATAATTTTTCATAGTATTCTCATATGATCCTTTGTATTTCTGAGGTATCAGCTGCAATGCATCCTCTTTCATTCTAATTTTGATTCCTGTCTTTTTTCTTAGTATGCCAAGCTAAAGGTTTTCTATTTCATCTTTTTAAAATAAACAGTTTCATTGATAGTTTTTCTTGCCATTTTAGTGTGTATTTCATTTACTTCTGGGCTGTTTATTTCCTTTCTGCTTCTACTAACTTTATGCTTAGTTTGTCCTTTTTTCTTTTTCTTTCTTTTTGTTAATCCTCAGCCGAGGATATTTTTTCCATTGATTTTTTTATTTTAGAGAGAGTGGAAGGGGGAGGTGGGGTGAAGGTGAGAAAGAGAAAGAGATAATCAATGTGAGAGAGACATATTGATTGGTTGTCTCCCACACATGCCCTGACTGGGGGCTGAGGATCAAACCTGCAACCCAGGTGCATGCCCTTGACCGAAAATTGAACCAATGGCCCTTTAGTGCTTAGGCCAATGCTCTAACCATTGAACCACACCAACCAGAGCAGTTAGTTCCTTTTTCTTTCTAGTTCCTTGAGGTGTAAAAATAAGTTGTTTATTTGAGCTCTTTAAAAAAAAAAACAACTGTAGGAGTTTATCACTATGAACTTCCCTCTCAGAAATGCTTTTGCTGCACTGGATTAGGGACAATTTTTATCTTCTTCTTACTTTTCTATATATACCAATCTTTCCAAGACAACATGTTACTCTCATAATCAGAAAAAATGCTTGTAATTCATTAAAAAAATAAAAATATTAAATAAAGTGGCAGTGGGTACTAGGAGAGACCACTTTGGAAAAGTATCTGGGTTATTCTGAGCTATTATAGAGGACTGAAAAAGTTAAAAATGTTTTAAACCAAGAATAACTTAAGGACATCAGCATACATATACAATTCACAGAGATGGAACAAACAAGAAGAGAATAAAGAAATATACACCTTACTATAAGGGCTGATTCTATCAAAGATTATCCCCTGTTCAAATTTTGAGTAATATTTGTGAACCTGTGTTCTTACTAAGAGAAGAACCAAGTAAGTGCTCTGGTGTTTTCCAGCCGTTACCCAGTTCTTCCACCAAATCATTTGATAGCTTGTACTGAATGGAGAAAGATGAGAAGCACAGAGGAGACAGGATAAAAGCAGTCTGACTGAGACAGAAAACAAAGTGCCCGATTCCATTTACCTTTCTAACAAGTCAGCCATGAACAAATATACAAATGATCTAAGGCATAGTTTTTGAAATTACAAAAGTGATCCATTATTGTATAGGGAAATAAATTTAGCTATAAGCACCAGCATGTATTAAATAAAACATACCAAAATATAATACAGTAGAGCACAACACACACTCCAGGTAGTCAGGTTAAAAACTGCTGCAACTTGCCCTGGCCGGTTTGGCTCAGCGGTTAGAGTATCAGCCTGCGGTCCAGAGGGATCCGGGGTTGGTTCCCACTAAGGGCACGTACTTCAGTTGCAGTTTGTCCCCGGCCCTGGTTGAGCTGTGCAGAAGGCAGCCACTGGATGTGTCCCTTTCACGTCGATGTTTCTCTCTCTGTCTCTCTCTTCCTCTCTCTCCCTCCCACTCTATCTGAACAAAAAACGGAAAAATGTCCTCAAGTGAGGATAAAAAAAAAAACTGTTGCAACTTTCATTTCTGGTTCATTTGTACATTTATACCTGTGGGAAATGGCTCAGAAGTATAAATTTTATCTCTTACTATGAGTTGTGGTTTTAAAAAAAACACTAAAAATTAAATGCTACCTGAGATACCTTCAACTGTAAGTTCAGTTATTCTAATTTTGCTACTCCTTTAACAAATATAATGAATGTTGGGAGGGAGGGAAAGAAAAAGAAAGAGATAGAAGAAAGAAAAAGGAAAGAGATATAGATACAAAAAGTATTCCCTAAGGAAAGTGCTAAAAGTCTCCTGGTTGAAATACATTTTTAAAGCCTGCCTAAATGCTCAAATAAAGAAAAAGCAAACAATGAGGAAAAGGAAAAGACTGAAAGCTGGTGAATAGATATGAAGTGAAGAGAAATAGATCAGGTAACTCTGAGTGACTGTGTTAGAAGGCAACATTATTCCCTGAAGGAGTCTACAATCTAAAACCAGTAGAAGTGTATAAGCACACATGTATGCACACACACTTTTTGTACACGAATCTATGGAACACATTACTATAGTAATGGTATTGTTATGAAATGAATGTTTATGTCCCCCCAAACTCGTGTTGAAATCTGAATTCCCAATGCAATGGTAGTAGGAGTGATGCCTATGAGAGGTAATTAGGTCATGAGGTGCAGGTTTCATGAATGAGATTAATGCCCTTATAAGAAGAGACCCCACAGAGCTCTCTCATTTCTTCCACCATGTGAGGACACAGCTCTCCATGAACCAGAAAGTAAGTCCTCACCAGACACAGAATGTGATGGTACCTTGATCTTGTACTTCCCAGCCTTTACAATCGTGAAAAATGAATCTATGTTGTTTGTAAGTCAGCCAGTCCATGGTATTTTTGTTATAAAGTCTGAACAGACTAAGACAGGTATTGATAATATTAAGTTTTTAAATGTACATTTTGAATAATTATATGCTTACCTTTTATAAGAACTTTATTGATCCACGAATCCAACTGACACTTGAAAATTCATGCTCTTGTTATGGGTCAAAGGTGACTTCAGGCTCAGTACAACAGAGCTCTCCAAATACAAGTCTTAGTTGGCAAAGAGGAAGTAAAGAAGAATCAGGAAATAAAGATCAGCAGAATTCTCCTCCAACTACACTGCTGGAAAAACAGCATATACCTAGAAAAATAAACAAAAAAAATAGCTTCAAATATTCCTATTCCAGAAGGAATCCTAAAAAAACAAAGCAAAAATGCAAAACGAAGGCTGAAAACCTTTATGCCATAATATTTTAGGTTCTTAGGGGACAAATGTTGGTATAGTCATTAATTTCTCTTTACATTATGTATTTAAACTCCAGGAAGATCGGGAGTCATTTTGTAATACCTAAAATGAAAGGCATTATACTACTCCCCCCCCCCAAAATATAAAACAAATCACACAACTTCATTTCATTGCAATGATATAAAAATGTTCAAATAATACACTATTCTAATATATAATAAAATAATGTCAAGTATTAAAATCAAATCAAATATAAAATGGAAATTTGACATTTGGAAACAAATACGAAAAAAATTCCATTGAAAGTAGATTCCAAAGCATTAATAAGATATAAAATTAAAATACAGACATATCAGTGTGGAAATATTATTTGTGAAATAAAAATTAATTTCCACAGCCTTTTTGCCTAAGTGTCTTATCCTTATCACCTTTAATAATATACTTTCACAAATCATATTTGACACAAATAAAATCTGCAAGAATGACAACAGAATTTCTTAAATAGCTACTCAATATAAGTAAAGAAGTTCTTAATAATAATAATTTACTAAACACATTATTATCACTCTCCTCTAGATTTCATTCTATATTAGTTTACTTTACTCCCAACAACATTTTAGGGCTTATCAGCATCTCAGCATATATACAAAAGGACAACAGTAATTAGGCAATATAATGTAAAACATAAATCAATAACATAGTACTGAAAAATATTAGGATAACAGAAGTTAACTGAAATCTACTGATTCCAAAAAAATTAACTCCTCAAACACATTTTAGCATCATATACTACTAAAACCAAATAACAAAAGAGGATTTCTGAAGAATACAAATAAATGTAGGACTGATCTCTAGACAGATTTCCAATGTTTTGTGCTCTTGTATTAAATGCAATTCATGTTTTGTTTGTTAAGAGAATGATTTCTCACATCCTAATGTAGTACTTCCTCATTTTCACTTTCAATCTCATCTGAAAAAGTTATAAACAACACATTTCTAAATTACATAATATATGTATGGAAAATATCTAAATATTGTCAGCAGCTCCTTGGACAGCAATATATTTGCTTGGGTTTTATCTTTCTCATCTTTCCCTTGTAAAAATACAAACCATTTTTATTCCATGAATGACTCTTTAAAAGTGAAAGACATTCAAATATCTTTCAAATAATCCAACACGTGTGTATATGATGAATGTGTGTATTTATGTAACACAATATACATTGTGATATGAATGTGAAACAATGGCTATTTCTTCAGAAAGTGTGACAGTAATCAAAAGAAAAATTGACACTACAATCAGTGACTTGAGTAGCTGTAATCTGTTTTGTTTCTAAATACTCACTTTATACCCAGGTCAATTTTACATTTCTTACACTGCTGGGATTGTAATATCTAATAAAGAATCTCATTGACATACCATCAGAGAAACCAAGAAGGGAGGAATAAGATAAGATACAGGCAGAATTAGGAAACAAGAAGACTATCTGTACAGTGAGACTGTATGAAACAACCAGAATTCCTCAGCAATCCATATTCAGAAGGAGTGTTTACCACAGTCTCACTGAAAGGATATACCAGTTCTTTTTCTAGTTATTCTCTATGGAATTGCATAAAGACTGAGAAAATCTAGAAATAGACATACACACGCATATATAAAAATTATTGTTAGTGTATAAGTTACTGCTGCCCTGGGACTGCAATAATTTATGTAACATCTGTTTTCATATTTTTCTAATTTTTTTCTTAATTAACATGCATATTTAACACATAAATGCTCAGCCCACCTCTTTTTCCTGCTGACTATGCCTCTTTACTTTTGAAGTTGTGTACTCCTAGAAAGAATTCAGGATAGGTGGTAACCAAATCTTACTGAAAGCACTAATTTTTAAATGTAAACAAAGAAAGAAACCAATTTTCAAGAAAATACTAAAATCTTAAGGGTTTTCATGCCAACAAGTCATGCAGTAAATTAATGTCCAAACACCAAAAAAAGCACCATAAAAATATAATTCCAGTATTATTTATCTTCTTGATTTCTCTAACTTTTTATAAGAGCTGAGAAACCTATTACAACATCTATGATTTCTTATCTCTGTAAGTTTTGTTAGTGTTTTTAAATTTTTATGCCTCAGGCAACTAATATAAATGAACACTCTCCATATAGTAAACATCAAGAAGTATGCAACCTACTATTTCTTTTTTGAATTGTAAACTTCAAATGTTCTGCAGATGCAAGGAAACGAAAAGTTTTTACTCTAAAGCTCATTCAAGTATAATCAACTTCTGGAAACTCTTAAGCGGAACTGGGAAATTCAAAACTCAAAATACTACTTATATTTAGTTTTAATAGAAAAAGTAAAATTAGAGGCTGATCAAGCCAATGCTACAACTAAAGTATTCTCAAATAACAATGCTTAAAATGCCAACATTATGACTCCATCAGTACTTAACCTCACTTTAGAATTAATCAATTTATATTTTATTGTGTAGTTATGTACTTCAGTCAGTCATTTAATATTTCTCTTCTGTTGTCAGGGCTGTTTGTAGACACTAAAATTGTCTCAGCCTAGAACTTACATTTTATTTTGGGAAACAAACAGTAGTAACCAATAACCATGCAAATACATAACTGTAAGCAGAGATAAATGCTATTAAAAATATGGGCAGTATGGAGCCAGGAGATTTATAACAACAGACTGATTTAGTCCAGAGATCATCAAAGACCTAAAGAAAGACTTTTTATTATGAGATGGGAAGTGTTCCAGTCTGGGCACAGCAAGTGCAAAGGTCAAAAATCAGTTAGTTATATAATAAGTACATTCAAAGTCAAGAAAGAGAAGCAGAGAGGCAAGTCATGGCTAGAGAGAGAATATATATAAAACAACATGGGTCAGAAAAAGTCAGTAAGGCAAAATTATTGGAGGACTTTAAATAAGATATGGCAATAAACTGTACATTGAAGAAATATCAAATTTGGTTGGGTTACAGAGAGGGACAACAGACGGGCAGGGGAGGAGTTAGATGTGAGATGACAGTAGTGTAGATTAAAATGATGTTGATGAATGAAGATGAACAGAAGGCAAAAAGAGATTTATGGGAGAACAATCAGCAGAATTTGGTGAGAGATCAGATTCTGTGGAGGATGCAAATGGACAGCAACGGAAGATCAGTTTTGGGGAGAAAGAACCCAAGCGCAGATTTGGACATGTTAAGGGGTGACCTATTGAAGATGTCCTGTAAGTATTTCAATGTAAACATCTGGAGCTATAAGAATAATCTGGAGCTTTAAGAATGCTCTGGGCCAGAATCAAATTCAGAATTTACCAGGATATGAGTAGTAATAAAAAGGGGGGGGGGGGGGCATAAGCTTTTCCCAAAGAAAAATCCTATCACACATCCAGTATCTTCCTAATTTCTAGCTATCATTCCACAACAGAACAGGAAAACATATATTTTATAATTTGACAAACTCATTTAGCCTATAATTGGTTAACCTCATAAGGCATTATTTGCCTCATCTTAAGTTACTGAATAATATCCATCATTTATTAGAATGCCCATCCTGGGACAAAACTATAAAAATTGCTGAAGCACTCTAAAAATTTGCTACAGGTCATTAATCCTCACAATAATCTAAGAGATTTAACAATGGTCATGCCTACTTTTCCGATGAGGGCACTGAGGTTTATCAAAGTGAAGAGATACTAGTAAAGCCAGTAAGTGATAGAGGAATATTTCCAACCCAAGGTTACCTGAGCCCACAACCCATTTTCTTTCCACTAAATAGGAGGGTAACATAAATACAGTGTCAAGAGTCAGGGCTTTATAATAAATCAACCTCAGTTTCGATTCAGGCCCCAGAAGACCACTTAAGTTCTGTGACATTTCCTAACCTGCAATTTCTCCCTTGCTAGAAGTACTGACGTTTTAAGAAGCCTCTGTCACAGTCCACTCGGCTGTGCATCACCATTAACATGACATGTTCTTTCACCAAGGAATTCCAGCTGAGAGAGGACTTAGACCAGAAACTACGGCTGACCCTGAGAGCTTTGGAAATTTCACAGCATAGGACGTGCCAGGTCATCAGATACAGCTACTTCATTCAGCTCTCCCGTTCTTCTCTTAATTGGGAAAGAGCAGCTTCCAACAGGAGAAACACCAGGAGACAATATCCTAAAAGCTGCCATTAGAGAATTCAGCAGTAGTTCTAAAACTTTAATGTGCATAAAAAATCACCTGAGAAGTTTCTGAAAATAGAGATTCCCAAGCAGACCCTCTCCTCAAAGATTCTGATACAGCAGGGAAACAGATGACCCTTTGATATTTCTAAAAGATATGTACCAGCACCAACTGTTACTTTCCATTCTTCAGATACATCCATTTTAAATTATTTGCTAAACATATATATTACTTTAGTCCAACTAAACTGTAACCAACCTAATATTAAAATTTCAGATATTCTTCTGAACAACTACTATCAAAGTTCCTTTCCAGTAGAAAGAGGGATAGCCCTGGCCGCGTGGCTCAGTTGGTTGGAGCATCATCCCAAACACTGAAAGGTAGCAGGTTTGAATCCCGGTCAGGGCACATATCCAGGTTGTGGATTTGATCCCCGGTTGGGGGTGTACATGATGCAACCGACTGATATTTCTCTCTCACATTGGTGTTTCTTTCTTTCTCCCCCCTCCTTTCCTCTCTCTAAAATCATATCCTTGGGTGAAGATTTTTTTAAAAAGCTACTGCTTTAAAAAAAAAAAAAAAAGACAGATGATTAAACAAAAACAGTTTTAACTATATATAAAATGCCTCCAAAAAATCTGATTTTCCTTAATAGAGATTTAGTTTTATGATTATGTATACATATACACACATACATATATAGAGAAATATTT